CTTGTGGGATGGAGACTAAGATTCTATTACTGAAAGAACAATTTGATCAATTCAATTTTAATGCGTTGATAACTTCTATTTTGTCTATATATTAAGATGTTTGAGAACATCGAGAATTAATGATTTTAAAGGTATCAATTGGGACACATCTTCACTATTATTTCTTCAACATGTCACAGCATTTTTATAAAATCAAAGTGATTGCAACTGCTTAAGAACAATTTCTTAATTAATTTTTTTTTCTTTTTCTCCATAATCATTTACAGAGTTTAATTAAGTTTTAGAGTCAATTTTCTTAAACAATAATAGTTGTTACTCATTACAGACATGACCTCCACTTGAGTATATCACTTATCACCAAGTCTTCCCACTTGTGTTAGTTTTGTTTTGTATTTACAATAGCAGTGATGGAAGATTAATTGTCATATCTATTGCAGTCACAAAAACTTGAGTAATCAAAGTGTGCATGTATCAAATATTGCACAATAATAACAAACTAAAATAAACATTATTTGTTTTGCTTAACGTTTTTCACTTTCAGACAAATTCTCATTTCATACTGAGGCTGACCAAAAAACTGTGTAGTCTGGACTAGCTAGCTTTGAAGTTGAAGAAATACTCTAGCTTCAGTGTCTTAAGTTTTTTTAATTTTAGGAAAAAATATCACAGGTTGGAATGCATGAGATGTTTAAATATGACAGCTGAATAAACCCACAATGTTCATGCATACTCTTTAATGTAACATATTCTCAAAAGAAGTTATATTTGTGAATCTCATTTAAAAAGTTTTTAAAAAGTTTAAGTCTGAAAACAAGGATTTAGTGAATTTACAAATATACTGCTCACTATCTGAGGCTGAAAAAAGTAAAATGTATGCTTACTCAGTTCTGTTTTTTAATAGTGTAATATTCTAAAGATAGATTTTAAAATTAACAAGATGCAAGAGTCCAAAAAAGTTAATAAAACCTAGCTCAGTCTTGATGAGATTGGCTGATACTCACAGAATTCAGTAAGAATAAGTCTTTCTGTAAGTATTTCTTCACAATAAATCTATAATGGAATTTAAATGAAACACCATTATGAGAGAATAACTCTTACATAGCAGAGTGCTATAATGCATTGGAATGTAATGTTCATTTATTTATTAATTCAATCAATAAACGCGTATTTTATAGATTTAATTTGCTGGAACTATACTATCGTAGTTCCTTTATTAGCTATTAAGGGAAATTCATTATGCTTTGGGTGCTCTTCAAGGCATCTGCATCTGGGTAAATTAGCATTTAGACATTAAAAAATAATTAAAATAATATGTAAAATATACCCTACTGTAGATAAATATATTTTAAACTCTAACAAATAACATTAAGATTGAAAATAATAGACTGAGAATTGGTGTTTACTCAAGTAAGTAAATTACGTATCACTTTCTGTATCTCAATTTATACTTTCTTAATTAAAAATAAGCCTCCATACAATAGAATGATTTCATCCCTAAATAGATAGTATGCCTACTGTCCATCAAAAATGTATTAATTATGTGAAAATATAATTAATTAATCTTTTGGAAAATATCTGTCACTGGATCACAGTTGGGTTTGACTCACTTGTTAAAGAATGTAAATTTTGTTATTTTGAATATTAATTAGGAAACACCTCAAAACTCTTTGCATTATTCATTTTAAACTTTATAAAGAGCAACAGATTCATAACTTGTAAAATAATTACTTATGAAACCTTTGCAATTGGGCAGAAATATTTGTTCTTTATAGTTCATCAGATATTCTTAGAAAGGATAGTTGTAAAATCTTTAAAATTATATACACAAGTATAGTTGAAGACTATTGTAAAGGATTACTTTTGTCATTTGATCCATCAAGAAAGCTAAAAATTCCAGGTATTAATTGAATGGAAAGTCTATTAGTACTCATATTAAATTTCAACTTCTAAGACTCATTCCTTTTTTACAGGACAGAATAAACTTTGTTACCTTTTCCTATTATTTAAACACTTGAAACTGTCAATTAACAAACAATAAAATTAGTATTTTTTTGTCCTCCATAGGAACTCATGAATTGTAAACTTTGAAGTCATGAAATAATAATGATATAATACACAGAGTGGTACATCAGAATATTGTTCAGAATTATACCACTCTGTGTTTAAAGGAAATTCTCCAAAGAGTTGCTAAATTAATACACCAACAGTCCAGATGTGAGCCTTCATTTACTTTAGTAAATTGAATGTGAATTTATTTTAAAAATTATAAATTACCATATTTAGGCTTTGCTACTTTGGTATTATTGTATGAGAAGACTTTTAATTCATTTGAATATAGAGAACATCAAGCTGATAACATAAATCCACTAAGGATCAGCATTTTTTTTTTAAATTGATGGACCATAAGAAGTCAGTTTACCACAAGCCTTATTTTCTAAGAGTGTCTATATTTTCATTAAAAAATATAAAATCCAAGGTAAATATTCTGCCAATAAAATAACAGCTATATTGCAAATGTTCTATTTTCCTGATAAAAATCCCATGATAGTAAAACTCAGTTGCTACCCCTACCACACAATCACCAAGAATATTTGACACATTAAACATAGTTGCATCAACATTTGTTCTCAGTAAGTCATAACTTAAGATGCTGAAAAATAACAGAGTCTTTTGAATGATGAATCAAGATTTTTTTTATAGCATGTTTGTGCTTAGGCTCTTTAGTTTTTATTTTGGCTTGCCCTTTGAAAGCATTCTATCCTCTCTGTTATTCATGTAAAAAATGAGAAAAGTGAATTAAAACTGGTGGAAAATATTTTTAGTAGAATAGTATAAACTAAGTAAAACTAGAGTAGAGATTCAGGAAAATGTCCTAGATCTAGTAACACTTGACCTTTCCCATGCCCTTACTCTTAAAGAGGTGAAGCAGTATAGTGGAAAGAATCTTAGAAGATTCAAAATTAATCCTAAATCCTGAACATGACAAACACATTTCAGATTTTTTTTTAAAAAAAGAAAGTCTACCCTAACCTTCTCACATACTGTTCCCATAGTACCATGTATACTTGAAATATTTAGTAATTCAATTTTCTAAATTAATGAAAATTTTAGAATCTTGCTCTACTCAGTTTTTTTTTCCTGTTCAATGATAATAGGAACATAGTAAAATAACAACAAGAAATAAAGGGCCTTGACATAGTTTTATAATGAAGCATCAAAGTTTAGAAGGCCCCCTACTATGTTTTAGCTCGCTCTTGCTGAGAGATACCTATGAAGAACTTTTCACTTTATAACACACATACCAATCTTGTAGCTGAGTTAATGGTAGGGATGATATGTGCATATTTAGATAATATGTGTCGGAACACTTACAGGTATATATAGAGACTTCTTTCAATATAGATGTGATTTAATTAGCTGTAGTACACCAATAATTTTATTGAAAATAATCAACATGTGCTGTAATTTTCAATCATAATTTTAGTCTACAATATTGGGTTTCTTAAAGTAGCCCATGAGAGAATGGTAGTATGTATTATCCAGTTCAAAGTTCAAAGTAAATGATTTTGATCCTTGCATGAGATCCTGCAGATTTCACTTCAAGGTTATTATATAAATAATTAACATTTATATAATTGTCTCCTGCATCCATTTAAATCTGGACACATATACATATATCCACACAGACATACAATGAATTGTTTATTATAATAAAACTGTACAGACTAAAATACAAAATAACTGACAAACTGAAATATGTGAAGACTTTCTCTTGTGGTATCATAACTGTGCTTTGCCTCAAAAAAAAATAAGTAATATAACTTTGTAATTTTCCAACCCAAAGTTGCAATTATTCTTATTTATTCAATATTTTATCAATGAAATTTGTAAGCAGAAAAAATATTGATCCAACCCAAAGTTGCAATTATTCTTATTTATTCAATATTTTATCAATGAAATTTGTAAGCAGAAAAAATATTGATGCAGAGGTCCACATCAATAAATGTAAGGACTAAGATTATTTCCACCAAAATTGTAAAGTTAATTTATTTGACAAAATGCTATTATCAGCTGCATGGTTTATGATGGTGTCTTATTAATTTGTTGTGTTTTGTGTTTCACTTTCTGCACATTCTTAGCTCCTTAAACTATAACCATAGTATAACAAAATAAACTATAACCATAGTATAATAAAATAAACTAAAATACAAAGAAAGCACTAATAATAGTAAAACATTAGACTATGCAGATATATTGTCATTTTAATTGAGTTAAATTGATTAGTGAATGAAATCTACTGATTGCTCAACCTACATATTTACCAAACTTTAAATAAAAAGAGGTTTATTTGGGGTGTGTTACATAATTTCTTTTCATTTTTTCCCTAGTTTTTCAACCGTTTTTCTTACACTTTAAGATGTATCAGGTTCATGTAAAACCCTGCCTTTGGGAAACTTCTCTTTCCTACTCCAATTTTGCAAACCAACCCAATGCCAAACCTGAGCATTTTTGTTTTCAACATTGAGAAAATAGAAAAAGAATGTCCACAACATGTTCTCTCAAAGAGTCAAAATTACTTTTTTAGTTAAAGAGGCCCTTAATAGTTCTATAGTCACTCTCTGTATTATAGGAAGATTTGTGAGTCCAGCAATGGGAGCAGTTAAGGCATTTCTGTAACTGCCTCTTCCATATTTCATTAGGGCTATCCACTCCTTCTTCTAACTCTTTACCCTCCCAATCGTTGCCTCTCATCCAGGTTCATTTTGTGGTTTTTCTGCCATTGTTTAACTTTTAAATAAAATCACATTGAATATTTAAGTGAATGTACATCAAGTTTTTAAATAATATTAAACATGCTCATGAATGTGAATATTAAGAAGTTATGGATGTTAGGGCCATCTGAAAAATGTATATTCTGCATCATGAAATAAAAATATCATCACAAGATGGTGATATTATACAATACAGTTGATGATATTCTATAGACACTCAGTCCTTACCTGGGTTAACTGCATGATGACAAACAAATCAAAAGAAAAAGTCCCAAGAATCTGAATCACCTGTCTCCACGCTGCTCTGACAGCTTTACAGCTTGGGACTTTCTTCTTAGCTTAGGTATATCTGACTGGCTATCCTATGCATGCAAAGCTAGGGTTAATTTGTAAACCTGTTCACCTCCTCTTTTCTAACAGCTGTTTGGCAGCTCATACAGCAAGGAAAGTGCATTTTGCCCTTTCAAACAGAGCCTATACTGCCTCTCCTAGCCAAGCTCTGCTTACAAGGTCTGGGCTCTGAAGGACTGATCACATGCTGGACCTAAGGGAAAGTACAAGGCTTTCTGCTTCAACTCTCAGAGACTAGAAGAGCAACTAGCAAAGACCTCAACTCTCTGCCACTGTTTGGCCACAGAAGCAGCAGAAACTCGCAGCCCTGAAGCTTTGTCCCCTCCCTGGTGGTCACCTCAGGAAGAGAGTGCCCAGAAAAGGGTCTTCTTTCCTCTCAACCCCACCTCCAGGAAAAGGGGATGAGCAATCCAAAAGCAAGAACTTTACAGTGGCTTTAATGTAAGCATGTAGCTCCTAAACCTCGGATTGTGGATAACATTGCATTCCAAACCCTAGCTTCAAATTGAAGCCCATCTCACTTCACTCCGCCGCCCTCTGGATTCAGTGGGTTAGTGAAGGAAGGAAAGGAAGGAGTAATGATGATTAGCAATAGTTTAACATTAATCTAAAACAACAAAAAAAAAAAAAGAGAGAGAGAGAGAGAGAGAGAGAAAGAAAGAAGGAAGGAAGGAAGGAAGGAAGGAAGGAAGGAAGGAAAGAAATTCTACAGCTATCCTAAACCCTACTAAACAAGCAGATTGCGACAGCAAACGGGGCTTTTAAAAACAGTCATCCTGAAGAAGCATTGCTCGCCATGCTTAGATTCAGCTGATGAAAATAATACAGAAATTGCAACGCAGCAAGATATTAAGAGACTGCAGAAAAAAAGCAAGTCTGTCTTTCCCACAGAATAGGTTTGTGGCCCAGGAAAACCCGGACAACAGGCTTTGTGGGAGGTTGCAAACCCTTGTCAGCCCACTCTCCTGGGCTGCAAACGTCCAGTCCACCTTGAGCCTCAGGCTTGAGAGCGCAGCCTGCACCAGCGGGTCGGGGACTCCATCCCCACCCTCTCCCTCCCGCACCATAACTGAGCCCTGGGCCAGCCAGGCGACCAGGCGACCTGCCCTCTACGCCCCTAGAACCCAGGAGGCTTAGAGGAAGATAAAAGCAGCTGGGAAATCTCCAGACACTGTCGCCTGTTGCTAGTCCTCTGGTTAAAGCATCCTTGGCTGGGAAAGCCTGTTTCTTGTGTCAATTTCCCTCTCACAAGGCAGAGCTCAGGGTTCTAATACAGCAAAACGCACTTACCTAGACAGCGAATGTCTGTGTCTCACTGTGCCCCACTGATTAAGCAGAAAAAGGTCTGACTGCACTGAAAGTTTTCTCCTTTCTCTCCCTCCCTCTCTCCCCCCTTGCGCAACAGCAGTAGTCCTCTAGAGAGGATATTTGAATTGGCGAATTACACCAAAGCCTCCTTTCTTCAAATGAAGTCAGGGATGCTAATGACACTGGTTTGTCAAGCAGGACAGACCAGACCGAACTGGCAAAGACAGCAGGTAGAAACTAGCTCTGGGTGAGGGAAGCCAAGAGGTGCGGACAACGGCGGCGGCGGCGTCAGCCCCAGTCCCTCTCTCACTTGGAGGGAGACAAGGGGGAAAACCCTGGAATCTGAGAGGGGGATGGGGCGATGCAGCAGCTGGAGTACTTTTATGTCTGGATGCTTAAAAGGCTTTTGAATTAAAAAAAAAAAAAAAAGAAAAGAAAGAAAGAAAGAAATCATTGCCTAGGTTGTCGCAGCAGCCATCAATGACTGGAATAGTTCTTTCCTAGAAATTAAAAGACCCCCCAATAAGTTAGGAAAGGAGGGCTTGAACACTAAAAACTCACCTTCATCCACCCCAATAGAAAGAGGGATATTGCAGAAACTTGTCCTTATTTTTGGGGGGCGGGAGGTATTTCACAGAAAATTCCTCCAGGTTCTTTCCAGATTCCTGACACATGCATATTTGTGTTTGATAAATACCAAACACTTGCCCCAATATGTAGTAAAAGCCAACATTTAAGTGTTTCTCACCACAACTGGGTGGAATAACAAGTGATCAATCGTCAGTTAAAGCCCATAGAAATGCTCATGAAAGCATAACACAGAGACCATATTAACATACTTATTAAAAGCTGAGGGCAGAGGTGGGCAAGTGTGAAGAGTGAGGCAATTATATTTTTCATATAAAGTCCCTCCCAGAATTTCAGTGTATTAGAACCCACATAATCAGTGGCTTCTTATACCTCTCTTCATCTGAGGGGAGACCTCCCTGACCAATTAACTGTTTGCCAGCATAATTCATAAAACCTAAAACACATTGCAAAATGCTACCCAAATAGAAACCAAGATGACCTAGGTTATGTGCCCATGTGAGTTTAGGATAACATATAAAAATTATACCCCCAAAAGTCAGGCTCCTTTTCTTACCATATAATGACACATTAGTGTTAGGATCCTATTAAATCTATAAAAAGACACACTTTATCAAAGTCCTCCCTCAACCATTCACTTGTTTAGGATGTGATGGGCATATACTGAACACGACCTGGACAACCTTTTGATGATCATAGAGACTAGTGAACTTTCTTAAGCTCAGAAATGGTCACTTCCTGCATTTTTGTAGACTAACAGGGGGAAAAATGCCCTTTCAAATGGCACAACACTGTGTTCCAAGAGGGGTAAATTGAGGGGAGGTGATGTCCACATTACTTGATGGAAACTTGTAATACAAATGGAAATATGTATTTTTTTCAGAAGGAGGTATTTTGGCAAGTCATAGCATGTACTATATTTAACTAGTTCCAGGATGTACTAATGGTCATAGAGGTACTTGCAATCTGAAAGTATCTATGCAATGCAAGCAGAGAGAGAGAGAGAGAGAGAGAGAGAGAGAGAGAGAGAGAGAGAGAGAAAGAGAGAGAGGTCTTATTTAAAAAAATAACAAAACTAGTAATGAGTCACAAGTTGCTCATCACATACTTACCACAAGAAATTCATGAAGCAAGATGACTGTGAGAGAAATATATCCAGGGTTGAAGCAGATATTCCATGGTCTTCCAAAGCAGTGCAGATCTGTGAGCAGCAGGGCAGTAGCACTTGGAAATATTCACCAGTTCCTGGTGGTATCTAACCAACGGAGAGCCAGTTACTGAAAGCCAGGCAAAATGTTAAAGAAGTGTTTTTTACTGGGGGTGGGTAGCAGTGACGAGAACAAATTTAAGGAACTGTATGTCCCCACACAGTGCGGAAAGGCAGAAAATGCGAAACAAACAGATCTGCAAAGAGAAGTAAAAGGATGTGTTGAAGACAAGAGAACAGAGAACTAGTGGGCTAGGCTGTAGTCATCCTCAGAGTGCAGCAGCAATGACTTAGGCTGCTGGAGAAAGATCCAATGAGAAATCAGGAGAGCATCGCTTCGGAAATCCTGCAGGATCTTCCCACTCGCAGTTCTTTTCAGAGTTTACCTGCGCTGGGAACATTGTCAGTAGGATTAATAGTATATTCCATCAGTGTGTTTCACTAGCAGTTCCCTGGAACCCTTTCCCTTGCAGCAACTGAGGGAGGCATAGGAGGAAAGTCACACGTAACCCACAACCCAAATAAGCAAGCAGGACTGGTCACTTTGCCTTGATCAAATCGTCAGCGATTTTTGCATTGCCAGAGGCTAGGAGATGAACGGTTGAATGTTCTAGTCGCTGGGAGGTTTTAAGGGCGCAGTGCTTTGGAAGGTTAGCAAAGGGACCCTGGAGTGGATGATCGCATGCCTAGGCGGTAGCTGCTCTCCTAGATAGATCCCAGTTCCTTAATCACTTATGCTGCCTGTGTTTAAGGCGATTGATTTTAATCCGGAATCCCAGCGCCAAAGCCATGCTTCAGGAAGCTAGATTTTAGGACAGTCTGAGGACTGTCCCTGTTCCCTTGTGGGTGGAGGGGGGGGGGAGAAGGGTGGCGGGAGTGGCGGTCGTCTGTGCGGTGTCTGCCATGCATTTGAGCCCTGCAGTTACAGAGCTAAAGTGGAGAAATGGCTTTGTTGTGGATTGCATTGTCGTGTCATTTTCGTGTCCTGATACCGCATAAACGATCGATTGGGTAAGATTAGCCTGATCTCTTCTCTTGTTTCCTTTCTATGACCCCATTTCTCCCACCACCACCGCCCTCTCCCTCCCTAACCGCCCCCCACCCCCCACCCCACAGCCCTCTTGTCTTTCTCTCTTTTCTCCCCTCTTTGAAATTAGCCACCAGGGAATTAATTGCCTGTTTGGCAGAAAGGCTTATAACTCTGTAACTGATTTATTTTTTGACCATGGAACGAACATCACCTCTCTGCTCAAAGTCTTTTCTTAGGGAAGATTCAGGGTTCCCATCTTTATAAATTCTCTGAGTGACCCAGAGGGTGTATAGAGAACACAGTCAGGTAGGAGTCATCAGCTCAGTGTACTCCAGCTCAGTCTTGCTCAGGACACTGAAGCTTACAAATTATGCATTGGTCTGTTTTAGAAGGAAATGGTAACCTGGAAATCGATTTATTTGTTGTAGAAACTGAATAGCTGAACGATGGAAGGGCTGAGCATTTACTGTAGATAAAAAAAAAAAAAAAAAATGTTCTTGGTAAGTAATCTTATTTTCAGCGTCTCAGTATCCCCACCCCCCACTCCATTCATTCATTTCCTTTCTGTATGTAAATCACGGAGGAGCTGGGTCAGTGGAAATGTTCTTTTCCTCTTTCCTGGGAGAAGAGAAGCCAGTAAGTGTGAATTTGAAGTGGAGATGAGCCTTTGGAGATTATATGGGCACATTCAGGTCCTGCCTATCCTATAGAAAAACACTGGCAGGTAAAATAACCTTTGCCTTCTAAAGGTGCATTTAAAGATCACCTCCCCACCTTAATTCTTTCTTTCCTGGAAATAACGTGATTTGGGGTGGGGGGGGGTAAGCTGGTCATTTTTACTTATGCTATGAGAACACTTGAGCTGTTTTA